ATGACGACTGATGGTTTTTACTTTATTTAGTTGTTAGCCCAGAAGGCCTATAGTCACAAAACGGCATTTTGCATTGAATCACTTTAAATGCTCGAATCACTTTTCAAATTGCTTTCACCAAATATTATCGCCCTGTACTATATTTAAAGAAATTAAGTAATGAAGAATTTGCGTGAATGCATGTATATTTCTCACATTTTGAAAAACCAACGATATCTAGAGCTATCAAATTTTGAATCACGTAGTCCGGTACTCGAATATGGACTCACGGAAGCCCGAATTTTGAATTTCCAATTTGTTTTATTATCTATTTCACATTTTTATAAACTTCAACGAATTTTTGATTAAGGAACTCATCGAAATTCCAATGATATGCTGATTTAAATGTTTTTATCCCGATGTGGAGATAGCCCAAATGCTCTAGTAAAAGTGTATGTATCAGTAAATGAAAACAGAAAACCTGTTTAGACGTAGTATAAAATCTGAAAACTTTGAGATTTTTCTTTATTATTTGTTGCTTCTAGTGTAATAATTTTAGGGTTTGTTTTGCATATAATCGAATTTATAGCCATTTGTGTGAATAAGGGAGCATTTGAAAACATAATTTGGAACCTAAGTGATAAAAGTAGCATTAAAAGTCGCACAGACGTAATTTAGACTATTTCACCTGAATTATGAATTCATCTAATCCTTACTGATTACCAATAAATGCCAAATTTACTTTTATTAAGCTATTTATTATTTTATTTTATTACTTTTATTATTTATTATTATTATTACTTTATTTATTCAAACAAAAGATCATAATAATTATTTTGTCCCAAATGTTCATGAAATTTTGGTCTCAAAACTTCTAGTAACTCGAAAAGATCGTAAAATATGATAATTCAGCCAGACTTCAATTTCTCAAATTTCGTCCTCACTGTTAACAAACTGTGAATGGATACATGCACTCATCTTTTTATGTTAAAAAGTAATAAGTCAGATAAACACATGAATATATAAATGAAATAAATGTATAGAGATACTTGTACAAATATATAAAATACGAAACAAAGCTATATAAATGTTTTTCATAAAATTTTAATGTTTTATGAAGAAGGATACAAAATTGAACATTTGCTAAAATTGCTGTCACTGAATTTGCAATGCATTTATCCCAGAAAAGAATAATATGGCTAAGAATTTTATAATTTTCTCCTACTAATTAAAATTACGTTCAACAGGCAGTGTTTCCTTTGCAAAAGAGCACGAAATACTTCATAATACATGTTGAATTTGGCAATTATTATTATTCAGAACTGTGTAAAAATACCATATGGTTAGTAAAAACATTCTTTCTTTCTTCACAGACATATGAAACCTTACAAATTTCAGTTGCCGGTTGATGTAGTATTTTAAAACAACAAATAACATTAGGTAAAATCTTTGTTCATATAGCACCGCAGCCAAAAATCATGCGAAGTCTAGAGATTTAGTTAATCATTTATGCTTAAGTATGCTTAAGTATTCCCTTCGAAAATCGATAGCAAGCATTGTTCATAGAAGAAACAGCGTGGAGGAATGTTTCCTCCTGCATGAATGTTACAAAATCTAACACTTGCTATTCGTCCAATTAGGAAAAACTGTGTTTCAGAACTAGTTAGCTCAATATTGAGCTAGTGTTAGTGATAATCTAAAGCAGAGATATATACTATGTTGTGTTACAAATTTAAATAAATTGCGTTTTGGAGGTTTTGATTTTAACTGAAATTGTTGGCATTAGTAGCGGACATTTAATTTTGACAGTTAAATACTATTTTTAGTTTTTATCATTAGCATTCTCATTACTGGTGCTAGAAGAGAAGAAGGAGGTTTTTTGAATATCTATACAAGAAGTTAAATTACGTGATCAGTGTCCCCCAAATGGAATTTCGTAGTAGGGCTGTGAATAGAATTTACGTTGAAAAAAGGGCAGTTTTAAAGTTATCTTTGCCCACCTTTTGTTTAACTAGAGAGAGGGAGAAGCTACGGAGGATTTCGTTGCGGGGTGTATGAAAAAATAGTAGGAGTCTTCGCTTCGCTTTCGTATTGTGAAGAGTATCAGATAAACAAGATTTTAGAATAGAAGGGCGTCGAAAGTTCTTTTGAAGCTACAATCAAAAAGCTAGGATTTTTTTCGTTCTTTATGTAAGACTTTCTTCTTTTCGGAAGAAAACAGAAGTTTCGAATCATTCGAACGGGTGTTTCGTGTATCACTTTTGCAACTGGTCAAGAGTGCCGCTGTTAAACAGTGGGTGGAGAAACAGAACTTTCCTTGACGCTTGTTCATCTTTGAAAATCAGATTTGGCTTCATCATGAAGGAGAGAAGGGCTGGGAAGCCGACGGGCTTGCCTTTCTTAGGGAATCTGCCTCTTCCACCAGCGGCCATGATCTCGGATGAATTCAGATTTTTTATTTGCTTCGCCAAGGGGCCTTTGACATCCTCTTTAGCTTACAGAAGTGTCTACAAATGCAGAAACGTGCTCAAGGCAGCCCCGTGGCATTGAGGACACTCTCTGCATCTTTGTTGGAAGTTTGAGTAACGGAAAGTCGTTTCGAGATTTCATGAATTAGAGGGACAGCACTGAATCCGTTTTTGTCCCGTTTTCTTCTCACCATACTTAAGCAGTGTGTTGATATATCCTAGACACTTCAGACCTCGAAATGGTAACGGACACTAACCAGGACTAAGGGACAATTAACATCTGTGGTCAGTATTCGGCAGTAGTGCAGGGCTTCTGTTTCATTTGGACATTTACGGAGCGCTCAGCTGGAATGAATGCATGGAATTGTAACCAGACGCAGAAATCTCCTCAGTTTTCTCTCACCATACTTAAGCAGTCTGTTGATATATCCTAGACACTTCAGACCTCGAAATGGTAACGGACGCTAACCAGGACTATGGGGCAATAAACATCTGTGGTCAGTATTCGGCAGGGCTTCTGTTATATTTGGACATTTCCGGAGCGCTCAGTTGAAATGAGTGCATGGAATTGTAACGGACGCATAAATCTCCTCAGTATCTGGTAGTATCTGGTAGATTAGGTTTGTGATCTGTGCAATTCTCCATGAGTGAATTATATATTCTGGACTGGTATTCTTTCCAACGTGAGTTGAATTTTGCGTTTTTGTATACTGTTCTATTTTTTTTATTAAGTGTAGATAGTTTCCTTTACTTTAAACTAATTTGAACAAATTTAAATTTTGTAATTAATGAAAAATTTAAGAGTGCTTTAATGATGTTTATTATTAAGAAAAAGGAAAAAAGCGGCATAATAAGTTAAATATACCTGCTGTAAAGATTAATATAAAAGGTATTTAAAAGTATAAACATTTTTCCTGTTCAGAAGAAAAATATGTCTTTAACAACTTAAAATATGAGTACGTTTAAGACAATGTTCCTGTAGCGACCTGGCCAGTACTCTCAGTTACCATAATGTTTATTTGATCTAAAAGTAATTAAATGAGTTTTATTGTTAAATCTGGTATGCACGTATTATTATTATTTGGTGATCTTACGTCTTACGAGTACTTAATATGTCTTACGAGTTTCAATCGTAACTTAATATAAATTTGAATCGTAAGTTTAAATTAAGTTTGAATCGTAAGGTTTCTGTCCATAAGTTTGCATTCATAAGCAATCTTTTCATATTTTTGAATCGTAAGGATTTTTAGGAACATGGAGATTTATTTTGGGGGGTTTATTTAAATAAAAGATAACGTAATATAGTACTAATCACTGGTTTAGATGATTTAGTAATAAATCTTATTATTTTCTTTTCTTGAACTGGATTGGTCGATCCTGCGCAAAGATATTTTCTTCCCTGGTGTTTTGTGAAGTTGTAAATTAATGTGCTGAATTTGTAGCTACCTATAAAGAGCTAAGAATTACAGAATATTTAGCTGTGGTGATTTAACAATATAGTTTTTTTAAGAGATATAACATTCTCTTGATATTGGGTATTGAATTGATATTGCATTATTTGTGGCAAACATAAGTTTTGATATTTAATTCCAAGGCACCAGAGAAGATTTATTCTTTCAATTTTCAGGATGCAGAGTTATTATGTTTGAAGCTTGAAGTTTGAATTTTGAATTTATTTACTTTCTTTTAAAATTATCTTATTACTGATTCAATGTGGAGGTTAAATCGATCATCTAATATCCCATAATTCCACACAGTTTAAGAGTACCTTATTTTATTTCTTTTTATTTTTGTACGGTATCAGTTGTAGAAAGAAAAATAATTTAGCTTAAGGGTTAATAATAAATTATTTAATTTTTTAAATATAATATATATATATATATATATAATATATATATGTGGGATGGCATCGTTCATTATAATCGGATGACGCGACAAGCTGTGAGAATAAATCTTTTACTTTTCCGATGATAGAAGTCAGACGATTCCGCCATTAAGACGATGACGCGATTAAAAGATGTTTGAATGTAAAGATGATTCCTTCTCTTCATCTGTAAATAATCTCACCTATTTCCTTCTACGTATGTAATTACTTTGTAGTTTGTTACAACTATTCATGTTTCATTAAATATTCAAGTTATTTGTAAATCGGACTAGTTTATTAGCCCCTAGACAGCCACCTAAGAAGTAAGTTTACAAACATCATATTCCTAGACAGTAAGTTCCGATTCTACATATATATATTAAGATTCCGAGATACAACATTGTCTAATGAATAAAGTTGTAACTAATGAACTATCCCAAATTAAAAGAAAAAGTTCATTATAATAAAGCTGTTCTGCATGATCACGAGCTTTTAGATAATCATGTATTTATTGTTATCTCCAACTTTTTTATGAAGACAAATTTTAAGTATGAGCCTGTTCGAGGACGTATTTTCAAGAATAAGTCATCTTGAACTGCCCTAATTCAAAACTTCAGCGAATCATTTATGTTTTCGTAACTGAAATAACTATCAGAAAAAAAAAAGTAAATAAAATAACGTGCACTTACCTGTGTTTCAATTGGTAGCGCAAAAGCGTCACTCACTTCGGCATCTGTACTGTCAATGGAGTCGCCTGAAGCTGGTCCGGGCGCATTCACATTGGAAGCTATAGAACGTTAGGTGGGAAAAAAACACATCATTAGGTTAAGTGATCATGTTTCTCCACATGAAACAACTGACCATTAGTGAAGGTGAATAAAACACTGAAATATAGAATATCTATATTGCAATAAACTAACCCGTACAGAAAAATTAGCATTATGCGAACCTTTTGGCACTACTCTAGTTAAGAGACGCCAGAAAATTTTTGCTATGTGAATAGACAATGTGGAATTTATTCCAAGACTGAACATAAGCATTCTTGAGCGCTGTTTTGGAAAATAACAATTTTTTGCCACCTTCTGCTTCCTTAACGCAACCATTTTCATGCTAAAACATCTTTAAATAAGTCTTTCCAAAGTTTTCAGAACGTTGCTTTATATAATGCTAGGCTGCCATACGTGCTATATAACATCGATAAGACCTGGAGATTGAAATAAACTTCTGCTCCTTAATTCATATTCCACGCAATTTCGCCGCCATTTCCTATGCTGCTGTCATTCGATGTGATATAAAATCTTCAGATCTTCAATTTACCTTTTAAATTATAATAATTATTTTAAATTTATAATTTTTAATGCCACAAAGTTTTTTTTCTCTTTTAATTCTGATCGCGAAAACAGATCCAGAAAAATAAATGCGTTTATGTTTGAGAAAATGTTATGTCTATTTTTCTTTTTAAATGATTTTAAATTTGCGTTGTTTGATCCTTTTTATTTTTAATAAATTGCACATCTGTGTTGAACGCGAAGTTTAATTATTTCACCCTGATGCGATAATTTTAATTTTTAATCAAAGCTGAATTTTTTAAAAAAAAATGGGCGGTATTTCCATTACGTAAGCGACCGGAAGTCTTATGTTTTAAATTAAAATAATACGTATTCTGTTCTCTGTAAAGTTCGAAAATTAATTCAAGTTCACGTCTAAAGTTTAAGTTTAGTTACTAGTGTAGAAACTAGTTGTTCTTTTTTTCTTCGTCTCATCCAACATTGTTGTTGTTTCTTGCAGAATTTATCTGAATTGTAATCGATCCTATACTGCACAATAGCAGCAAATTGTTGACTAGAAGTCGAGATATAAGTTTTCTATTATTTTTAGTTGCAATACCATAAGCTATGGAAAGAAAAGTTTTGGGTTAGCTTTCACTTTCTGAAATTTTATCTTGTTCTACAGTAAGCATAAAGGAAACAATTATTCGCACTAGATTTACGGGACTCGTCATTTTGACGGATTTAGGAATTCATGAGCAAAATGACAGAAACCATTATTCTTAGTTTTCTAATGTATGCTGAAAATTATTGATGTAATGATACGAATATATACCTAAATTTATTTATTCAGCCCTTTAATTTCAGAGTTTTTTTTCTATGATGTATACCTACCTCTACGGTCACCCGTCGTTTGCATGGGGTAGCTAGTTTCATGATTAATCGTAATAAACCGTATTTTTTTATGAAATTATTTTCTTAGGGACAAATGTAAAAGTATTTAGAATGCAGATACTAAATAAAACTCGTAATTCAGCGGAAATATCTTTCGATTATTTGGCGAACCCAAGACCAATACACTATGATTAGCCATAGCAATGGATATGCCACGTGCTATTATCTGTAAATCGTATGATCCTGCAATGCGTCAGCATAAAGCGTCAGACTCAAGACTAAGGAACAATTTGCAGTCGTTGAGTTGAAGTCATTGAGTCGAGATGTTTTAAAAGTTTCAGTTAGTGCGAGTACAGACGATTGAGAAGAATGTATTAAATAATTATGAATGTTAGCAGTATCATTATAGAATTAAAGGAAAGTACTAGTTTTACTCTATTCTGACGAAATACCGTTCTTAGATCATCATTCGTAATTCAAGAAGAGATATTGAATTGCTATAGAGAATAGTCAGTATCAGCGAAGATTGCTCTAGTACAAGCTCTGGTAAGTCTGTTAACACTAGACTACAGTAACTTTTTTGCACCAATAAAAACATTTACTAGGTCTGCCGAATTGATGATTATAGGTATATCTAGAGTATGGAGACTAAAATAGTGGAGTAAGCGTTCTCTGTATGTACCCGTGCAATGAAAATGAAGCCATAACACGTCACGGTATGATGTCATGACTTATCATGGCCTCTGCCATAGGCGGATTTCTGATTGGTCTTGCTTACATTCTAATCGGCGTTGTCTTCATCATTGAACGTTTATGTCTCCCGTTCTAATTTTAGTACTTAACATTAAAGATTTTCTACTTAGCATCCATGAAAGTCACAAGGAAAGCAAATAAATTTTTGAAATTTAATAGAATCCGGGTACATGAGAATATGTAAATGGTAACTATAATATAAATTTATGCATGGTAAATCCTGAATGATTTCCAGAAGTTTCAATGGTGTTTTATGAAAATAATGCCTAAAACCCTTTTTTGAGCCTGCTTACGTTGATATTTGCTTTCATATTCAGTGAAATGTTTTAACAATATGTTTCGTAGTCTTACCCGTACGCTATATGGTGGCTATAAGTCTTGACGACACGTTGCTGACATTTCCTCAATATGAATTTTCTGACGTCATGCTCACTCCATTTATTCTAACCTCCATAGTCTAGAGCTAAGATTATATGTGTTTTTAAATTCATCCTTTTTTAAGAAAATACTTTGCTTCCTATACCCGTTAATTTGACAGGTATCCGTAAATGTAGGTATACAAAAATGTTCGTAAACCTAGTGTTAAAAACAATAAACGTATTTTTTAACAACTGCATTCTTTATTTCACTTTTAAGTTATAAGATATTTTCTCCCTCCTTTCTGCATCGCTTCGTGATGTAACGGTAGCACACTCGGCGAATATTTGACAGGTCCAGGTTCAAGCCCCGGCGAGGACATTGCACATTTTTCATGTACACCTCCTTCAATAAAACCTAATATCTCTACAAAGTGTTTTACATTTCATCTAAATAATATAATTTTAAATATATTTAATTTATGATTATATCCGATTCATAATATGAACATTTGAGCATTATTGTAATTAAGAAATAATGTTTTTTAGCTCCTTATATCATTCACTACAATACGGAATCATTTGAATATCTGTATATTTAAACTGATCGGGGCTTTATAAATTACCCTTCTAAATTATCAAGCCCTTCCCCATCCAAAGAAAACTTTAATGCTTGATCAAATCGTGAATTTTATTTTAAGCATAGATGTTGAATCTGCTCCGTTCAGTATGAGTCTTAAGACCACTTCGTAGTTTTCTCTAAATATTTAAAAGTTTCATAATTCGATAACTCTGGATTATCATCGTAATAACAACGAACAACCGTTTTTTTTTTTTTTTTTTTTTTTTTTTTTTTTTTTTATTTCTTTAGTTAATTTTTAACCATCTTTAAGAGAAAAATGTGATTATCAAAAATTTATATGACAGATAATTTGGATCATTATTCAAATGTTTTTAACTTTCGTTTAATTTTAAGCTTTCGTCTTGTAGTGATTCGCTAGATAGATTTTCATGAAAATATAGGTGGTAGTACCATCTATCGATGTGAGTTGAGCTTAAGTTTCTACTGGCGAGTTTATGAATAGCAGATCATTTGTCGCGTAATCGATTGGACTAAAAGCATACTCCGAGAATAGGCTCTAAGTGATATCTTTTCTGCCAATACAAAAGGAATGTTAAATAAGTAATAGGTAAAATGATCCAGGCTGTATGAGCTAAGGAGCAAGTTCAATGAAGAATATTCTAGAGATATTCGGTTTTCTGATGCCGAGAGACGTGAAAAATTAGCAATGCCCTCGCCGGGACTCGAACTACGGACCTCTCGAAACGCGCCGAGCGTGCTGACTATTATACCACGAAGGCATGCTAAGAAGGAGGGAGAAACCTTATATACTTCCCCTTTTAAAGAGTGACTGTGGTTTAGGGGCCCCAATCGCCAAATCCTGATGATGGAGAAACATCATGCGCCACCTTTTTTAGTTTGGGCGCCACTGTAGAGATATTAAGCATTTTGAAGCGGGAGTACGTGAAAAATGAGCAGTGCCTTCGCCAGAACTCGAAGCACGGACCTTCCGAATACGCGCCGAGCGTGCTGACCATTACACCAGGAAGGCATGCTAAGAAGGCGGGAGAAATGCCTTATAAGGTTTAACATACTTATATTCATTATCACATTCAGTTTCTATATCACTACCTATATCATATTATCTACTCACTCTGACTTGCAGTTTGATCTTGACTTCACTTACTTTCCAATTATTTTGAATTTTTATTTTTATCGTCCATTACTGTTATCTTCAGTTGCATTTTGTGCGCAATTTTTTATTTATCCTTAAGGATTAAGTATTGAAACGCTTTTTAACAACTTTTTTGAAGTAAGATCTGGAAATAAAATTAAATTCCCTCATATGTTTTACTGTAAACATGCATTTAATGCGTTACTGTAAATACGAGTAAAATATGCATTCAACTGTTATACACGTTACTATAAGCAGAATTAGTAAAAAGGGAATCCATTTATTCGAAACTTTCAAATATCCGGAGGAGATGGAATCCCATATATTCCGTATGTTTGAAAGTCTGATGTAGTCCAAGGAATCTTTATGACCTTGACGAAAAGTTCAAGGAATCACACACACAAGCACAATGAAGAATTATTCCAATAAATGTTTTAAATAAGAACAAAACACAAGCACCATCCAATTTAGGCAGCAGGTTTTTCCTACAATTACAAGTGCCCTCGTAAGAAGTATTAATTAATCTATTCTAGTGATTGATTGTGTTGCGCAAAAAAGGAAAGGTCACGCGAAGCTGCTTATTTCTAGTCTCCTCTGAGATTTGGTTCCTCTTAAATGAGAAAGGTCACCGTTTCACAAGTACTGAAGCGCGTAATGACTTCAGGAAAGTGACCATTACCTTTTAAAACATATTCTCTGCATGCAACTGATTTTACTATCAACTTTAACTGAATCTTTTAGTTGTAAAATGTGTTAGTAAAATGCGGTTTTGGCTCAACT